CAGAAACTCGGTCATTCGAAGCATGGAAAAATAATGTCATTCCGTGACGATAGTATTTCGTCTATATTTCGAAAACGAAACATAGATTTGAAATTCTATTTTTTTCCATAGACAACCCAAAGTCTAGGCTATAATTTTTCGATAGGCCACATTTCTTCAAACTGTAAGGATGAGCTGAGTTTTGAACATCTTTACACAGCACCGAAAGCAGCATTCCATTTTCTGTCATTTCATGACGGCCGATATTTTTTATGTGCAGAAAGTTTGAACTTCCCAGCTGTCACCGTTACAAAGAAAACTAGATTGAAAGAAGAAAAAGTGCCATTCCGTGACGTTTGGTCAAGCCGTAATATTACTTGGTCTTTGATGCTGTTTTTGAACTTGACTTGAACAGTTTCTAATTCCACTTAACTGCGATTATTCGTCACTACATTGGTTATAAATTATATCGTTTGTTTTACAACAGAAATATATATTTCGTTCACTTACAGTTTTATTTCACCATTTTCCTATTCTAAAATTTTACAGAAAGAGAAAATGTAAGTTACAACTTACACTGCAAATGTTAAATACTTCTTACTTTTGTTTTCTAAAAGCATAAAAACACAAGCAAAAGTAGATACAACGTAATAAACAGTACTTTATACAATTGGATTATTTTTTCGTATGCTACTTTTGTTTGTTATATTCAAGTAAAATTAAGTTTTATAGTCATAAAAACACTTAACGCACGTTTTTCACAATAAAGTCATTTTTCCTTCTTTAAGCTCATATACTAAGCCATAAGATGGATAAAATTTTGATTTATCGAACGGGATCTATATTCATATCACCATTATGATTCAAATTATTTGTTCAGTGAGAGAAAAAGACCGAGGAACATCGATTGATCATGTTCTTATTAATTTCTTGATGAGACTGTCTATTAGTAATTTTCGCAAACGAAATACGTTTATTAGCTTTATATCAATGAAAGATCTACCATCTATCATCATTATTAGATTATCTCGAAAATATTTTGACTATTATTATTATTATTATTATTATTATTATTTCAATTTTTTCAAGAAAACACAAGAACAAAACAGAAAAACAGAACAAATAAATCATTATCGGTGAACATAACAAAAAATGAACTGGAAAGCAGAAAAAATGTATGTTATTTGTTTGCATCTTAGAAAGCAAACAAACACAGAAACCACTGAAATAACACATGAATGTAAAAAAATATTGGTATATTCCTGATTTGTCGACCTACGCTTTGATCAACCAGCTAGCAGTAAAAATATTATGTACATGAATATAAATAATGATTGAATGCACCTATAAATATCTCTGTATATATACATCGCACGGTAAAAACAACGGGTAGATGGTTTTCTTAAATAATTTAAAAGTAAGTTTCTCTAAACAGTCAACCAAAGGCAAAAGTGATCGATATCAAAGTTCACTAGCTTTTACATATGTATTGTAAGACATGATGATCTGAGTGTAAAGTAGAAATATCTCGATCTAAGTCGATTTTCAAATTACAGATCACTATCCCATAGAGTACTGAACGGATTCTTATAGAATTGATAGTTACCTTAGATGAAACGTGTCAGATGAAACTGATCTTACGCTTATATTTGAGAAAATAATCATCTACAGTGAGCAATCGGAATTCTGCTACAATACGACTAGTGCCGACGCCACAATATTTATATCTACGGGATCAATATTACCTCACAGCTTTCGAAAGCTGTGATTTTAGCATCAGTATCAACATGATGCCAAAATGTTTAGTGGCTGTAGAGACAAAACCATTTAACGAATGGACTATGTCTACTTAGCCACTTCGTCACTAACCACGATCTATTTAGCGCAGCTCAGTTAGAAAACAGCAAAAATTTAAGAGATCAGGTCTTCAATTCACTTTCTTCCGTTGGCTCTCCTGCACAGAAACTACATCGAGTGTGGAATGATAGTGACATATTAGACTAACTATTTCATCATGCCACCAGTTGATCGGACGCTTACATTATCGCTTTTGGATTACATAACTTCTGCATCGCCACTCTGAACATGATTTCGATCAAGATGTTTACTGTTTATACTCAACTAACTAACTCTTCCAATATATGTAAAAATCAACTAATTGCAAGATTGGTGGCTATTGTCTTCGTTTGACCTTTAGGCAAGCACACTTTTAACATAGCGTGCTTTAAAAAACAATATGTATAACGTTTCGAACCTATCTGTTTTTGTCGATAAAAAATCATGTATGTGCAAAATAAAAATAGATCTAAGTTTTTTTCATTTTTGGAAACAGATATACACTGCAACAGAAAGAGTGTGACAGAATGACACGAAAGGGAAAATAAATAGCAATGAAAATGAAGACTTGACACAAGTGACAGTTTTTTATTTTGTTTCGCATTTATAATATACGAATCTATCTCAGCAATCTAGATGCGATATTTTTTTTTTTCATCTTCATTGGACGAATATGAGAGAAAAAAAATTAGTGATCGAATCCGAAGAGAGAAAAAAGTGGAATAAAAGAAATAAATAACAACGACTACAATTAAATGAGAAAATAAGCGAGAAAAAGATTTTTTAAATAACTGGTGACCGTTCAAGAGAACCTTCACGGCTTTTGTCCTTATAGCGATTATCAACCTTGTGACGACGTGGTCTAAAACAAATAATAAAGTATAAAAAGATTAGTACTACATGGTTAGAGTAATTTAGCAAATGAAATCAGGAGCTATTAATAAATAAAATCTCATAAAGATGATTATTAAAGAGCAAAACTATTTCTTTTTAATGTATGCAGCGCTCTTGGTTCTCGTGTGTGTACGAACAGTTTTTACTGAACTGAAAACAAATCTTACCTGGGATTTTGATTTGGTATGCCTGGTGGGGGTTTGGGCGTATGACTAAGTAGACTCGAAGAAGATACATCGTCCAAAATATTTGTTGAGGATGCTTGTTGTCGACGATTCAATTCTGAGAGTCCTAAATGTTGTTGTTGTTGATCGCTAGTTGATTGAACCATTCCGTTTGAATTTGTTGCACTTCCTAGCATGCTACTGATTGAATGATGTAACATATCACTACCAGGATCATTATTTTGATTATTATAATAGAACGACGATGAGTAATAGGGAAACAAATGATTCGAATCATTACTATTTGTATCTATAGTGTTGCTACGAGCAGTGAAAGTGGACAATGGTGTGGTGAAAGTTGTGTTTGATGTTGCCGTTGTCGAGTAGCTTGGTTGATTTGGTTTATGATAGGACTGATAAATATTTGTTTGATTTGGGAATTGTGAAGTTTGAGTTACAGGAACATCTACTAAATCTTTGTAAGATTTACTTCGTTGCATAGCATGCAAGCGTTTTTGTTGATCTGATATCGTTTTTTGACTTGTATTTGTCGTGCTTATGGGTTTTACTATTTTATTATCGATTGTACTCGATATAATTGATCCTCCTTTGTTAATAATTCCATTTAATAATATTTTACTTGACGCGACAGGTGAAAATGACATAGGTGTATTAGTGATTTGTTGAAATGATGAACGTCTAGGCGACGATGTAGCGGTACTAACACTTGTCGATTTATTGATTATTGTTGAAGATGGCGTTGTAGTATAAGATTGATTATACCCGCCATTTAAAATAGCGCTGCCATTTGTAGATGATATTGCTGCGTTTTTCTCGTAAAACATTAGTTTTTTATAAAAATCGTCACCACGATGAGACAAAGGTGTCATAACAGAATCAAACGTTTTCGCCGCTTGATTCGAAGTCAAGTTATTTCGATGATCAAAATCGTGCAAAGACAAGCTCATGTTCGTACTAGTATTATTATTATTATTATTATTATTATTTACATTCATCATCGTTATAACAGTATCGTTTCCATTCACATGCAGATTTGCTAGTCGATTAGTATAATTGGAATTGTTGTTATCGTTTAGGATATTCTTCTCTTTTTCTTCTTCTTCTTCATCATCATTTCTATCATCATTTTCTTCTTGATGGTCTAAATGTAGAAAAAAATAATGCCATTACTTTCACAAATGTGATAAATGAGTACGTTGAACAAGTAGGATTGAAGCACGTTATTGATCATCGAAGTTTGTCTACAAAAACATGCAAATATCCTGGATACATGTCCAGCTACATTTTAACTCGGCCTAGCTGTTAGTTCAAAAATTAATCCAATATTTCTGATAAAAGACATTACGGTTTTAACATATCACCCAAAGCAAAAAATAGTCAAAGAGTGCAGATGTAATCAACATAAAGAAACATTGAATGAGAAACGAAGCAATGTGGTAACAACTCCTACCCATGTAGAATTCTTAAGATACAACTGCTACGAAAAGACAAAAATGTATTTTATATGCGTAGCTGCATATTGAGTTTAGTGGCCAATCACAGGATGAATGTGTAGATATAAAAAGGCTCAGAACGTCAATGATGATGATGATGATGATGATGATGATGATGATGATGATGATGATGATTTACTAAAGTTATAAATGAAAAGAGTTATTTCCGTGAGTAATTAAAATAGCGTAGTGTCATCGTCCGGTCGACGAGTGGAGTTTACTATTTTGTCATAATGTGTGCAATGTTAGCTGGCTATTTTCAGATCCGTGTATAAACTAAGTGAACAAAAATACCATCTAATAAAATTTTCTGTTATCTACAACATGCACATAAATCATTATCTTACTTCCATAATGTTGTTGTTGTGCTGATTGTGAATGACGACGTATAAAATGATTTTTTAATATCGATGTTGGAGAATTATTATCGATGGTTGTTGACTGTTGTTGCTGTGGTTTAATAAATGTTGAATAATTAACTATACTGTCATTTGGAAAATAGTCTTGATTCGTTGATCGATAGATACTATTTTTATGATCTAAATGTTCAGTTGATTTTGCATGATTTATAATCAAACGAGTGCCACCAAATGGTGCTGGTACAAAATAATTTGTCAAATTATTACTGATTACTGGTTTGAATGATTCAATATTGCTCTGATTGTCAAACGGTAGAGAAGAGGAAGATGAAGATGAAGCTGATCGTGATGTATGAGGACGAATGATTGATGTGCACGTGACTAATGGTCTATTTTCATCTGCTGGTAAACATCGAACAGAATAATCAACTAGTTTTTTCACTGGTAATAATGGTGTAGGAGAATTTACATTAGTCGAATGTTGCCGATTATCGATTCGAGCTTCACCATTAGAAATATACTGCATTTGTTGTTGAATAGGTGAAGTAAAAGAAGAATGAATTTGATTTTTATTATTATTATTATTATTATTATTATTATTATTATCATTATTATGGTCAGAGTTTTGAGGAGAAGAAGGAGAAGTAGTGGATATGGTATGCTGAATTAAATTAGAATTAGATTTCATCATCATCGTTGGCGTAGTATCTAAGAATTTTCGTGATGGTAAACGTACTGTACTATCCATAAATGAAGAGTATTTAGAAATGTCTGTGAAAAGAGTCTGAGTCTTATTATTATTATTATTATTATTATTATCATCACCCGTATAGTTCAGTTGCAAATTCGAAGGAATAGACAGTGGAGGCGCCGCCGTATTAGATGATAAATCGATCACACAATGCTGTGGTTGTTGTTGTTCATTGTTATTAGAATATTCTTTATGTGTTCTATGTTGTTGTTCAAATCCATCGTTAGATAAACAATGTTCGTTTAAGTGATTATTATTTACATTCAGATTGTTACTTCGATTTATAAAATGATTTTGCTGTAATAGTATATTTGTTGTTCCGTCAGGTGTCGTAGTAGTTGGAGATAACGATAGCCATTGTTGCGGAGTATTATTGGTGTTATCACGATAACTTTCAAATGGAAGGCTTTCGGATTGGTCCGTACGTGGAGTGTTTGGGGTTACTTCTTCCACTAGAACAGATAAAACAAAAATAATGAGTTTCTGATAAAATTATATGTATGTATAGTTATTGAAATTCGGTATTCGCAATATACTAATGCAATAGCGTGTGTGTTGTTCGTAAGCCCTAATATTTGTAGCTAGAGATATAGTGTCAGACGTAACTCAATCATCAAGAATTAACATACATTTATTTTCTTTCCCATCGTAAAGTTCATCGCCACGTAATATAGATCGATGCAGTTGTTGCTGTTGCTGTCTTGTCGATGGTGTTTGATGTGATAATAAAATTCCACTTGTACTGTTCGGACCGCCATAAGCAAAAGGCTGATGTGTTTGTGGTGTTGAATGACTGTTCAATGCACCGGCTGTACTTGAGGGCAAGTGATTTACTGTATTTGACAAAATAAGATTATTAGTCTTATTATTCTGAACAGGAGGTGAAGACGGAGGTGAAGTGGATTGTTGTGGAAGAGAAGAGGTTGTAGGTTGTGGCGGTGGTAGTTGAAGATGAGAAGACTGATCGATTTTTTCTTGTGCATCTTCCCATTTGGCACTATGTTGATTATCACTACCTTCAGATAAATTATCTTCGAATGAAACTATCCATTGGGACATCACAGTCTGTGGACCTAAAAAATAAGTGTCTAATGTCAAATTGATTGTGCAATTCTATAGATTATCTTTCGGCATCTCTTCATTTATTTACTCCTAGGTAGATGCAAAACAAAGTCCACTTAACACAAAAACTCACCTGCTTTTATTGCAAATGTGGCTGCTGGCATCGACATTGCTTCACTGTCCAAGCCACCACCTTTTGATTCTCCGTTATTACTACTATGATTTCTTCTTGAACTTTGTTGTACTACATCACTTCGACTGCTGATAGCTTGTGGTGTAGTTGTTGCCCTCATAGAGCGTGGAGTTTTAGGTGGTTTACCGTGTTCTGAACTATAAATGCTGAGTCCGTTATTCCCAGTTGCCGTCACATTCGACGCTCCTGTATACATATTCTCATCATTAAATGGTGTTACATCTTGGTTTTGTTGCGAATCAGTGTTTCGATCAAGACGTTCTGTACTCTTTAGAATATTTGATCTTGCCAGATTTGAAATAGCGCCACCGCTATTCCCACCAGTGCGTGAATATGCACCAGTTGTTGCACCACGAGGTTTTCCCGAGTCAGAATAAGACTGTGAACCTGGTGAATCTTCTTTAGTTGGTTTAATTAATCGTTGTTGTTGAGCGGTAGAAAGGGGTGTTTGAGTCGGTGTGATTGGTTCGAATGTCGATGATTTTTTCGTACGACGTGATGATTCCGAAACAGCGTTCGTTGGCGCCGGTGATGGTGATGTATTTGTTGTACTTTTCCATAAATCTTGTCCACTTCCACGTCCACTATCGGTTGTTGTTGGTGGGCGTTGTTGTTGATTTGCACTTTTTTCTTTATCGGTTTTTTTCGATAATGAAGTATCTTTTTCATTATTATTGGTTGTTGGAATACCCGTGTTTGTTCCACTAGATAAATTATTATTTGCTATTGTTCCACTTGTATACGGCCTGCGAGTAACACGATCAAGACTTCTTGGTATACTACGACGAGGTGAAAAGGGTGAATGGTCGGAAGTACCGCCGCTTGTATTATTTGTTCGAGGAGGTTTCCATCTTTCATCAATCGTATCGGCGTCTGTTCCTTTGGCACCATTAGGACGATCTGTCATAATGGCTTTAGTCATTTCTCTATAATAAAAATAGAAGTGTTTTTAAATCTGGTTGAAGATTGAGAAAATTCAATAAAAAATACGCACGCTGATGCTTTATTGACTGTGCTGACAATCGGTTGTGTTGGTTCTTTCTGTTGTTGCTGTTGCTGAGTTTGTAAAGTAGTAGAATTTGGCGTTGTTGCTCCATCTTCAGTGTCCTTTTCCCAGTCGAACAGATCCGTTTCTTTGATACCGCGTCTTACTATTGATTGATGAAATAAACTTTTTAATAATTCATAATTTGGCTTGTCAACATAATCAAGTGATTGGACATGTTCAAGAAATTGCTAAACAAAATAAACAAATAAACACATTATTACGTCCACGGAATTAAAGTTCATCATCAAACTGTAACGTCTAGCGAGCATTGCCGCCTAATTTTCTTGCTTACTTTGAATTCAGTCGGTATACTTTTCAAAAATGTGGAATGATCGTATTTTTCTTTCATTTGACCAACTTGCTCTTTATCTTTGATCCGTCTCCACGGTAGTTGTCCCGTGACAAATTCAACTAGCATATAAAATAAACTCCATAGATCATCGTGCCGACTCATTTCCTTGTAACAGAAAAATGTATAATGTCATACAGAAGAATAAGGTACTATTTTGCTTTAGGTTCAGTTCTTACTTTGTTTTTGTGAGCATTGATCGATGCATAACGTACTGTTCCTCGAAATCCAGCTTGTGGTCGCGCTGCTCTTACACTACCTTCGGCATTCGTGTATTTTCTTGCTAAACCAAAGTCCAACATGTAAACTTTCCGACACGTCAACGGCAATCGACCCATAGCAAAATTTGACTAGAAAAAGGCATACTATCGGTCAGTTGATATAAAATAAAAGAAGAAAAACATACTGGTTTAATATCACGATGAAGAAAGCCAATAGAATGTATAGATTCAATAGCATTCAATATTTGAGCACTAACACGTAACGAAGTTGATAACGAAAAATATTGTCGTGTTTGACTACGACGTAATTCAGCTAAGTTTTTTCCTTGTAATGTCATCACAACGTAGTTATACATTTCATTTGTTCCACCTCCTAGAAACTTGCACACATGATCTTTGCCTAGAAATAACAATAACACCCATTTTTATTAAGAATAAAAATAATGCAAAGAAAATTTGAGTACCTTGAAGTCGTCGTAATACAGTAACTTCCATCTTAAGTACTTGTTTAGGCTGTTTTGCTGATTCAAGTTTAAGTGCAACATTTTCTTTTGCTACGACATCAAATGCTTCGTATATTTGACCAAAACCTACAAAGAAATGAATACAATTAGTCATGAATGATGGATATTAATTGCTTTATACTCACCACCACCACCAATTTTGCTTAACTAAAAATAAATAAATAAATAAATATTATTGTAATGATAGAAAGATAAAAATCGAACAAGCCTCAAGAAGATGTAGTATGAGTTATGCTAATCAAATGAACGCTAAGATTAAACAATTAGTTGTTCTAAAACATGAACTTTTTCACACTAATGTTAACTAACCAGACAAGAACAAATTTATGAAATCCAAAACTGTGTACAACGCGTCATTCAAACAGAGAGATGGCCTAATGCTTTGCCAATGGAAATTAAAAATGTTAGAGAAAAAAAGGAGTATGAAACTACGTACCACTTTCCAACGATCACGTACAACGTTTCCTGGTTGTAATAAATCAGCTTCGGACATTCTGTCACGAAATATTTATAAATATCTTTAACATCATTTGACTCCGAATATTTTTTTTTGTTATTTTTGTTCACAAGTTATCACTATGAATGATTATGCAATAAATATTTACTTAAAAAGTTTGATATAAACAATACTATCATGTCAACGAAAATCTATTTAGATGTACAACTAAAACAAACAAAGAGAAGAAAAATATATTCGTTTTGTTTTCTATTAAACGTGTTGAAGTTCAATTGACCCAAAGAAAAACTTTTCTTCGAACAGAATAAAACTGGACGAAGGAAAGCATTTTTTTTAATTTTATTCAAGTGGAAGATTTCTCTTTCAGGCTGGCATCTAGTAAAAAAAGTGTAAGGATAAAACAGATTATAGATATCTCAGATTACGGGTAGATACTATCCAGTAATGATTATGACAACCCAGAGTCTCCGAAAAGTCAGTCGATAAAATTCTACTCGTTTATAACGAAACTATAGAACATAGTAAACAGATATACAATTGATCTTTAATTTTAAACTTTTCTTAAAGATCATAGATATATGGCAAGATAATCCAGCAATCTATTGTTTTTGGCAACATTTTCAGTGCTAAAGGTCAATCAGTTTTTTATAGATGACAATTCGATGCTTTCGCTCTTGCATAGATGACAAGTTGGCTAAAAGTGAATGTTATACTGTATTGTACTACAATAAATCCATGTGATTACTGTTGTTGTCTAACGTATGTCCTATTTATTTATGTAGAATAATAAAAAAAAATATTTCATACTTGTCTTGTCATTGACAGCTTTATATTAGGAAAAAAATTGTTAATAAATGTTTGTTGTTTGTTGCTGGTAGAGAGGTGTTTTTCTTCGTCTTTTTCTTCGTTTATTTCTTATTTTTTTCTTTTTACGTCTTTTTTTAAGATTTGCAGTCAATCTGATGATGTTGACAGTACCAATAGTAACATTTTTGTACATGTCATATTGTCTTTGAACAACAACATAAGATCATACTATTACGATGATTAATTATTAGTAAAATATACCCTCCCCCAAAATATAACTAAGCAAATAGAATCAATTTAACAGAAAAATTTGATTTAGAGAAACATCTAAAATTAAATTGAACACTGTTTTATTTTGGTTAAAGTTTGCTGTATTCGTCTTGGTTTCTTTCGTAAAATGTCTATAAAACACCCATACGGCAGGTATGCGTCTGTTCAACATTCATCAACAAAAAAATTCATTATTCTCTCTTTGTTTGGAATACAATTTAAAGTAAAAAGAAGAAGAAAAGAAAATGTTTTGTCAATCTTTCATTACTTTTCTTTCTCTATCTTCTGTTTTTCTACTCTTAATGTATGCGCCATGCGCATGTGTACAGATGCGAATCGAATTCGATTTAACCGATCAATTTCATGGTGAATATTCGCGTGTGTTTGTCTGTGTTTACGTAACAAAGAAAAAATCATCATCAGTTTTATCGAGGACATAAGAGGCGTGTTAAAATCTCGTTTTCTTTCTCATCAATTCAATAAATCAATCGCAATTAGAAAATTGTTTTTATATCAAACTAGTTGTTAAACTGATAGAATGAACGTTTTTTAATTAATCGACTAATAAAAAAAATCACCTTTAAACATTTGAGACACCATATTTTGAGCCTAATTATGTTCATTAAATCACACAAAAAGACCAACTAATAAAAAAAGCTTTCACAATGACTATAAATGAAACGATATTTGACCTACTCGATCCTCTTACTTCTAAAACTACTACCTCTCACGGGTTTATTTTTCAACAAAAATGCTTTAATTCTTCCCCACTTAAAATCCTAATGTTCTGTCAGATTTAGATTATGAGAAAAAAAACAATAGTTTTTGGAGTGTGTACATAAAAAATTATCGTACTTCATTTCTTAAGATAACTATCTCGATACAACAATGTTGTACTATCGAATTATATGAGTATAAACAAAAATCAGCTGATATTATGAGTCTTTTTATTTTCTTCCACTTCTTTCTCTTCTCTGTACATAAAGAGTTCACAAAAAAAATAAAACATATAACGGAAAAAGGTCTAGTATGGCAGTTGTAGTAGAGATAGATAAAACAAATAAAAGTACATATACAGAGAGACAGCGGAGAAAGAGAGAAAGAGAGCCACTGTATAGTTTATTGACGTAAAGAACAACATACAAATACGCAATTAAATCCAAATGTCCAAATATAGAGAGAAGAGGAAAATTTTGAAGGAAGGAAAAAGTACTAGTACAACAATCCTCGTTTATGTTACTAGTCATGTTCATTACATATTGGTACAGTTTACTTTAGACATACAACCACTCATTTATTCAAATGAAGAAATAACAAAATCCATAATGAAATTGGGTTACAATTTTTTTTAGCAATTTATTAGAGTAGATATCAACACAATAGTTCAATCCATTGATTTCTCTTAAGACACCATTTATGTTGTTTTGTCGAATAGCTGAATATTATGTTCGAATATGATACTTATTGATTTTTACAAGAAGATAATTCACTAAATAAACTGTTTTGTTACTGTTAAACTTTAAGTTTAATTCACACTCTTTCTAAAAAACTAATTTTTTGTAATTTTTCAAGTTAGACGATAACTTTAGACCTACTCTATCGTATGTAAGATCAAATAGAAAATTTGTAACATGGATATCAAAAATTTAGAGCTACATTTCTTTTCGAATAAAAAAAATTGAAATACTTTTCAATCAGAATCTATTTAGTTCTACAATATTTGTGTGACAAAATCTTGGAGGTGTGTTACAATAGCGTAAAAGAACAAGTGTATCTTCAACATCAACAGATACTAGACATCATCGTACAAGAAATTAAAACAGGAAAAACACAGAACAAAGAAAGATAAAATAAAGGTCAAACAGAAAAATAAGAAGCAGATAAGCAACAAAACACATTCTTGACTAATTAAATCTCGTAACACCTCTTATAAAAAAGAAAATACAACGATTATAAGCAATTTTCCTTATAAATCAATCAAAATTTGTTATTTTCATGATAAAAATAGAAATCCTTGTAATCTAAAATAGATTCATTTGCCTGCATACATTTTTTCTTATCCATTGCAAAATTATCATATGTAGTACTGTTCGAAGCATTTCAATACAATGATACAAAAAAAACCAAGAAGCTTAATGATTACAGTAAAAGCAGGTATAGAGAAATGTTTTCAGAAAATGTGATATCAATTATTTATTTTCTATGCGTACACGTGTCATACATATGTTTAGTATTATCCCTGGTTTATAAGAGAATGTAAATCATTCATTTCAAATACAAATAATAAGCATAATCTATCGATATAGAAACCAAAAAGTAGCCTTTAATAACTATATTAAGTATTTACAATTTTTGAAATATTTGTCTCACAGTAAAGAGAACTTCGATCGTAGAAAAACGTTACTAAACAAGTGTAAATGAATGTCAGCTATGTGTTAATGATAAAACTATTTTATAATTCATTAACTTCGATGTCGATCGACTGATAGATTTAACTTAATCAGATAATTATGATCAACGCAACAAAAATAACTGGAATGAAAATACACACAGTTCAATCTCAATGAGAAATTTTGTACACAATATAGAATACTTTATACCCTGTCCTCTATGTATCAATTCTAAGTCATTTGAACTTATCATTAATTAGTTAATAAGAAATTATGAAAAGTAAAAGAAATACTATTTTGTTTTTCATCTACATATATAAATTGGAAATCAATATTATCTATATAGGATTGTGTCGTGTCAATGGAAATCATACACGACAATAAATCGTTCTTCTTTCAATAACATCAAAAAAATATGACAGTTATATCAATGAATGATTATTGATTAATGGAAACTAATTTTTTGTCGACTATTCTACATTTCGTATTTGGACTAGTAATAAGATAAGAGAAATTTCAGAAAAAAATAGAGAACAGATTCACATAATCTTTTCACAAGTTTCATATTCTAAAAAAGATACAATAATAAAAAGATAATCTAAATATCGTGATGTATTACATTCTTCTGGTAGATGCTCAATCTTTCGATCAATTACATCGGAACTTCTCCATGTTCTTCTTCTATCTAATTGAAATCATGACATTATTCTATTATGCTAATTTTCTAAAACTGTTGCGCATTTTCTTCATGTTAGACGATAAATTTTATGCTAATTTATATATATATATCATTTATTTTCCGAACAAAAAAAAAGTCAACCGGTAAATTTGACATTCGATCTTAGTAATAAAGAAAAAACAACAACCATAAGAAAGTCTTTTTTAATAAACTACTCACAGATTTATCTATTTTCTCTGTAAGACAAGGACTTGTCCAGTCTGTTCTGTCAAAATTTTTTGTATGGATTCCATAAATGAAAAGTTTTATTTTGAACACAACAGCACAACAACAAAAAAAGAACAGCGTTTTGTTCTGTTCGTAAAACAACACACACATATACATTAGAGAGTATGTATACAAAAGAACTCAACGCGATTATAGACGGTCAGACAGACAATGCAACATGCGGAGAGAAAGAAGTGAACGAGAAAAAAGAGAGAGAAAATGATAAAATGGACAAATGCGATGCAACGAGTATATCGAAGCTTTTTTTGTGCGCGTGATATATTCCTTTATTTTCTTCTCTACAAAATATGTACGATTTATGCACAAAAAGAACTGTTTCGTTACTTATTTTTTCTGTACATTTTTTTTCTAAAAAAAAATCGAATATATTTTACTTGTTCGTTGAGCGTAATATACATATTTATACGAAAAAGGAACAGTCGAAATTTGAAACGATTGGATTGATAGATCTGAGTCAAGTACCGATGAGAAAGGTAGAAGAGAGAGAAAGAGAGAGAAAATAAGTACTTGAGACTATGAGAGCTTTGATACATGCACATATAACGTAAAATATTATTTTGTTTTCTAAGACCTATTATGTTATCTGTCATATACTCCATCAA